ACTTTTTTTTTCTTTTTCTAAGAACGACCTTTTCCAGAACGGGTTGAATTTTTTTCATTTATTTATTTTTTTTGTTTCGGTATTTCAGTCCAGAAAGGATTCCTATTCCTGCATGCCGGCTTACTTTGCTGTGCTAAAGTGTTTTCAGGTGATGTGCCAGTCAAAATGGAGACCCACGTAGTTGTCAGCGCCTCTTCTCTGCAGAGCATTTGTCCCCGTGTGAGAAACTGAAGATGGAATAATTTCCTCTAACGAGACCAACCTTTTATTTCGGCTGATTACCCCTTCGTGCATTCTCTTGTAATCAGCCACCTCCATCTTATCACAAAAAGGCAGTTTGTGTTTGTAGGTGCATAAGAAGGAGACTTTGCCACCCACTAATGCACGTGTATGTGGGTGGTGATGAGGGGATTTGTTCTTAAGAAGACAAAAAAACACAAACTTTTCACAGGTTTAACTTCTTCCACTGGTTTAGTTCTGATCTCATTAACTGAAAGTCTTAAAAATAGCCTTAAAGATGTGACGGGTTTTGAAAAGCTCTGTAATGAATTAACTAAAAGAAGCACAGCACACCTCTGTGCACGTTCACACTCTGAAATGCTGCTGAGACCGAGCCTAACATGCACGCTGCAGCTAGTTAGGTTTTCTTTGGGAAGCCTGCAGAGATGGACTCTGTATGTTCTTTCGGGTCAGTGGTCCGTTTGAATTATAGATTGCAGCTTTTCTTTCTCGGATTTTTCTAGCGGGCCCTCAGGACACACTTGGAAGAGGAAAACTGCACAAAAGAGACGCACGGGACACAAAAAGGACAAGGAAAGTGAAATATGGGCTTAACTGTGGACCAAAGAGAATTTACATGTTTAATATTCTTAATTGGTCGTCTTAAGGTTGGACCAACTGGATGTTTGGATCCTCCAGAGGTTCATCAGGAGGCCAAGTAGGCAGCTATGTTTTAAGTTAATTAAAAAGTTGTTCAAACCACAGAAATAAAGCATTAACTGGCAAGTGATAGTTCAGCTCTTTTAAAATGGGGTTCTACTGTAAGGTTATGAACATTTAACATCTCATTTGTTGTAGGTAGATTTTTAAATTCTGTTTGATTTGCACAAGATTTAAAAAAGTGTTATCACTTCAGAAGCTAGCAGGGGTGGAAGTAATGAATTACAAATACTCACATTACTGTAATTTAGTAGATTTTTTGGGTACTTGTACTTTTGTATTTCTTTCAAGTGTGTAATTTTACTCATACAATTTAGACCATGTAACCTGCTACACTACTTTTAAAATCAGAAGTTGCGACTGAGTACGGCCACAATTAGAATTAATATTCAAACCGTTTTTCTGCATCTTTGTAGCTAATAAGGCTCTCAGATCGCGAACGCGTCATCAGTTAACTTAAAAAAACAGATCCTGCTGCCACTGAACAAAAGGTTCAGAAAGTGAAGGGTGACAGAAATGTCAGAGTTTAAGACATTTACTGTATCGGTCTGTTGTTCACAGTGCAGTTGGAAAAGTTTAAACTGTTCTATACTGGTTCAAAAAATTTTTGTCTTCCCATTACCAAACAAAATTCCTGCTTTATCTACATTTATTTACAAAAGAAATGGCCTTAGTGTAATATTTCTATACTTTAATTGTTTGTCTGAGAAATGTGCTTTGAATGTAGCAATTATATACAATAACTTGAACTGAATGCCTTCTTTTTTTTTTTTTTTAACCCTTTTATTAATACAGGCAGTCTCATTGAGTCACGAGAACTCATTTTCAAGAGAGACCTGTTTTGGGGAGAAAATGGTGGGGGTTAAGGGCCTTGCTCAGGGGCTCAGAGTAGAGCAAATGAGGGTGGAGGCAGGTGTGGGTGTTTCACCTTTTCCACCAACATTTTGTGATGTGGACAGTACTGGGAGTTGAACCTGCGACTTTCTGATCACAAGCCCATCTTCGCTAACCTCTGCGCCACCACTCCCCTATTGACAACACAATAAAACATCAATTGGTTAAAAAGTAATTAATACTCTGAGTAGTTTTTGAGAAGGGTACTCTGTACTTTTACTTAAGTATTTTATAACACCAGTACTTTTACTTGTAATTGAGTACAATTTAAGCAGTGTAACAGTACTTGTACTTGAGTACAAATTGTCAGTACTCTTTTCACCTCTGGAAGATGGTGGTTCTGCTGCAGCCTATTTCTGGTGTAATAAATATATTTCTGCAAGAATAATTACGTAATGTAAAACTTACCAAATTTAAAAATGAAAAATAATAAACTTATCACTTCTTGCATGAATTCATATCTCCCGTTGACTCAGAGTACGGGTTAGGAAGTGCTCAGCTACCATACCAGGTTTTAGCTCAGTGTCTGTGAACCTGATGAAGGGATAGCCAGTTTTGTGTTTTGATGTCAACTGCCTGTAGCAGCCATCTTGGATCTGTCCAACTCCAGAAGTTAATCAAATGAAAATTTTAATCCCATTTGATATTTAGCTAACGCTCTAGACAGACAAAAACATTAATCCCTGCCTTTTGAGGCCATGCACAAAAATACTGTTCACGTGAACCTCCATAAATGTTAAAATTGGAGATGTTTTGGTCTTTTCCCCTCTCATATGAGCTGTTAGCCCATTAATCTGAACTCTTTTTTTTTTTATCTTTACCCAACCTTTTTGTGTGTCCAGATGTTTTTTTTTTTTTTTTTTTTTTTTTTATCATATTCATTTGCTCTGTTATATTAGATCGCACATGAACATCTTAGTTACACATCTAAGGTCACATCCTGCCTACAGTAAGTCTACGACCAATCAGAAATCAATCGTTCTGCACGCAAATCTGAAATCTACTTTTGTTTTGAAAGGGGCTTTGTTTCCTGTGCTTTTATTTTCAAGAACAGTACCTCAGTATGCGTCTGTGTGATGCTGCTGCATGAGCAGAAAACATTCATATTTTTTCACGTGTTTTTGAGAAAGTCCACTCTTTACATCAAATCTATAAACTTTAAATTCTCAAAATGACAGCTTCAGATTTGCATTGCTCAGTTATATTGTTTAAGCAGCGAATGTGTATAATATTTAAAAAAAACAATTGAGAAGAATCGAGTCCAGTCCTTTATTCCAGCCCTCAGAAACCCAGATCCTTATGTGACCCTTGGAGATCAAAGCTGCCCACATCCATTTTAAGCACCATCAAAACTCGAGACCAAGATTGATGTTTGGAGTTAAACTGGGGGGAGAGTGGGCAGGCAGGTAATTTCTCTCCCAGCATTTAATCCGTCTCTGTTCACTGAAACTGTTTAAGGGTTTTTGAAAAATCTGCACAAAAAGTTGACTAATATAATCAAACTAACATCAATATTACCTTATCACACATGAATCAGTAAATAAATTGGAAATTCACATGCAGGCTTTCATCAGTTTTTTACAAATCTTTTTTTTTTTTTGACAACTTCAGGCCACTATAACAGATTCTTCAATTTCAGTTCATTCAGATGTTTAGTTTTTGATAATTGCTTCTCAGTTTGGACTGCGTGTTATTGGTAACTCGAGTAAACCCAGTTGTCTTACGGTTATTTGTGGTCCTAGTTTAAAATGTTCTTGGTCTTTCTCACTTCAGGTGATGTATAGTGTGTTTGTGTGTAAAAGTCGTTGACTGTGATAATGGAAGTCAGAATGACTTGTGTGATTTGGAGTCTCGTGGGGGGAGTTTGTCTTTGATTAGAGCTCAGCAGAGAATGGCTGACTGCACAGGAACCCTAATTTCCTCCCTGAATCACGGCACTGTGACTCCTGACAGAAAAGCTGACAGGACCGACTAACTCCACTCTCTGGAGAACACGTGCACTCAATTACTGCTTCGTATTTGGTTTTGTTGAGGCCATCTTCAAAATAACATTTGTTTCCAAAATAGTCTTACTAAGAAACTTTTCCTCTCCTGTCAGATTAGATTTGTGCACCAAGACCTCGCTGGTCAATACAACAGGTTTTTACCTCAGAGCATCAAATCCTGCCATTTGTCAAAACCTGGAAACTTTACACGACTAACCAGTTCAAATCAGTTAAAATGACACATTGGTTTTACTTTGTGTTAAATAAAAATGTTTAAAGTATAATCATTCCGCTTTCTTTTTTTGCGTCATGACATTTAACTCTGCATGTCATCCCTGAAATTCTGATGCACAGAATCACAAGTCCAAGTGTGAACTGAGTCACAGAGTAAACGCAATAAAAACATGTATTATCTGCAGCATTGATCATTAAAATGACTCAACACTATTAATGTATTACAGAAAATATATACGGTAGGTACACAGTGATATTGTAGACCATTGCATTAGGTAATACATTCAGCAAGTACTTTTACTTTTAATACTTGAAGTATTTTTAAAAGCAAGTACTTATTTACTTTTACTTCAGTAAAAACATTAATGTGGTGCATCTACGTTTACTAGAGTAATTTTTTGTCTGTTTATTTGTACTTTTACTTAAGTACAGTGTTTGAGTACTTTCTCCACCACTGATAGTAGCACTTGTGGACGTTTTAACCCCCTCTGTGAAACAAAAATCTGATGTGATGTAACGTGAGTTGGTTGTATTCTCTAAAGGAGGTAAATGATGCTGACAGCAGAAAACAATTGAGTCGTTTGTCTTTTTCCCCACTTGGTGCTGGTTCATCAAGTTTTCCCTTTTGTCTTTTGGTGGCTGGTGATGACTAATGTACAGAACATCACTTAGAAAAGAACAAACTATACCTTCAAGCTCAAACTAAAAAGGTTTAATAAAAATCCAATAACTGTTTCGTCTATTTTTGCTTTTCTATGCATTTTTATTATAACATATTTAAAATTCAAGCAAATACAAAGTAAAACCTCTGATTTATGTTGAGAAATCCTTTCCAAGTAGTAAACTTGGAGGCTGCAGTGCTGTGATGTCCAAATGGATTAATATAATATGTAGGATTTAAATGGATTGATTTGCTTAATTATTGATGACAAACGTTTTGTTTTCCAGGTGTATGAGAGGGGAACCAACGTGGAGCAGTTTGTGACCCGTTTCCTCCTGAAGGAATCAGCCAATCAGATCCAATCTCTGCTGAGCTCCGTGGAAAGTGCTGTGGACGCGATTGACGAGCAACACGGCCAGTCAGGGTGAGACTGAGCTTATGGCGAGCTCTGTGTGTTTTATAGCTGTGTCACTGCATAATGGGTAAAACTCAAACTGTCAGCGGCTGGAATGAAAATCAGGCAGGGTCTTGGCATGTTTGATTTTTGGTTAATTAAACCACCGTGTCGCAATTTCCAGTTCTTATTTGGTCACGTTGTTCTACAACCACAATCTGGACAAAGTTAGGACAATGTGTAAAATGTAAATAAAAACAGAAAGCAAACATTAGACTCATATTTTTTTCAGTTGTAGCATGAAGGTACCCTCCCCTGACCGTGACCTTTGACCCTTGGGTTGTCTTCCAGACTCACCACTGTTAAAGTTACTTTAAGCTTTAATAATGTCTGATGTTTTCACACATTCACTGTCTTTGGACTCAAAGTCAGCTACAGTCTAATATTTACTTTGTTCTTTATATTAAAAAAAAAAGTTATATTGTTACAAACACTACAGGTTTTTACTCGAGAGTTGTATTGTAAATAAACTGTGGATTATGAAATTTGCTAATCTCTGCATTTTCATTTACCGTACTTGCCGCCGTACACGTCGCACCGCCGTTCTTAGTTCATATCTTAGATCTTATTACTGGTTTTCTTTTACATTTTATACTTTCGTTGGATGTAACTGGGACCTTGTGTACACAATTTCATTCCACCACATGTACCACATGTGGTGCATATGACAAATAAAGAAACTTTGGCTTTCGTATAAGTTGCATCAGTCCAAAAATGTCTAATAAAGTTGAAAAAAACATAAATACGTTGCTTCGCCGTGTAAGTCGCATCTATTATGCGTCACCACTGACAACCCGGAAACGTGGGCCGGTGTTGTGCCAAAAATCGATTGGCTGCCAAATGGCGGCTGTAGGTGTGTGCACAGGAGGACTTTAACAAGAATTTAAATGGACTGTACCTATATAGTGCCTTTCTATCTTATCGAAATACTCAAAGCTCTTTACACTACAATCTGTGTCCTCATTTACCCATTCACACAGCACTTTACTAGATCTCTAAAAAGCTAATTTAACAAATCATTCTAAAGAGACTAATCAGTGCTTTATCACATTCATACACTGATGGGACACACATCGGAGGCAACGAGGGGTTCAGTGTCTTGCCTAGGGACACTTCGGCATGTGACTGCTAGTGGAGTCGAACCCCCAACTCTTGCATTGGAGGACGACTGCTCTAACCACTCAGCCACAGCCGCCCAACCACTCAACCACAGTTAACAAGATAACCACCTAAAAACAATTTTTTGTTTGCTCGACATTATAGTAAAGGTGTGTCTCAGTTAACTTTTCCTTAGTAAATGCACTTTAATGGTCAAATCAGCTGCATTTCACCTGGGCGGCGCCACAAAATGCAGCCGATTTGACGTTTGCTCCAGGAGTTCCGGAGCGAGATGAAGGTGAATTTGTATGGCAAGCCAAATGCCTCATTAATAGCCACTTTTACCTATTAATGAGACACTTGGCTTGCCATATTAGTCGAGGGCTCTCTAGTGGCTGAAAATGGAAGTGTTCAATATTTTCCATGTCAAAATGAATGAAATCGTCAGATCTCATTCAAAAACAGTTTTATAAATATGGGGGGGGGGGGGGTGTATATTTGTCGCTTCGGTGTTTAAGTCGCAGGACTTGCAAATTTATGCAAAAAGGTGCGACTTATACAGTGAAAAATATTGTACATTTTACACAACGTCCCAGCTTTGTCAGAATTGGGTTGCATTTCTTGTGGCTGAATCAGAGCAGATGATTTTTTTTCATTCCCATCTTTTTTTTGTGTCTAAAGTATTTTTCTGTCTTTCTCAATCTGTCAACCCATCAGTCATCAACCTGCCAAAGTCAGTCCACGGGTGTCAGAGAAGTGCAACCAAAACGCCGTTCCTGATTACCCCCCCAACAACAGAGTGAGCGCCAGGGAGGCGGTCAGGACCATCAACACGGCTTCAGGTGATGAACGCTCCCGTTGAGTGCTCGCTGTCAGGTGCTGGTGTGAGATAGCATCACTGCCCAAATCAGACTCTGCACTTCTCTTCACTCATCCATCTATGATTTATACCCCGCTTTAAAGCGCCTCAATCAGCCGCCTGCACGCGGCCGCAGCAGCTCTCCTTCAGTGGAAATTGCTGTGTATGTAATTTTTTTTTATTAGGGAGTGAGATGTGGGTTAAAAATATGAGAGGAGGGTGAAGGAAGATGACTTGAAGGAAAAGTGAGTTGCTCATAGTAAGGGTGAACAAAATGTATTTTTAGATTTATCTCTGTCAGCAGTTTGCTGCAAATCAACAGCTCACTGGAGGGTTTTTAAACCTGCAGTCCACCTGAAGACCTGTGGGCTGTCGAGTTTCAGAGTCATTGACTTTATTGACTGTAATATATATAAACAGATCACACCACTTGTATGCTCTTTAAAACAGTTAAAGATATTTTCATAGATATGCGTCACATCAAGGAAGAACATTAAATACAAGATGGCGTTCATTTGCACACGTCCAGCAAAGTCACGGTTTTGCTCATTTTAAATATTCAAATAAAGTATCTTAGCCTTAAAAAATAAAATAAACTATTGATTTAAATAAAAATGAGGTAACCATGAAAACGGAAGGAAGAAGATTATAAATGAAACAACAAAGTCCATGCTCAATAATCCAGGTATATAATCCAACATTTTTCAGTCAGGTCATCTGGACAGTTTCTTTTTTTTTTTGTGCTGAAATGTTTCGCCTTCCATCCAGAAGGCTTCATCAGTCAAGGAAACACACAACACAAAACTGATTCTTCCCCCAACAGCTTACTCCAAAGTGGAACAAACCAGTTATGTTGGTGCTAAGATGGTCTCTTTGTCACGGCCCCTCCTCCATTGCCGGCCCTCTTCCTTGTTGACAGTCATGTCAAACTGGTTGAAAACAACAACTTTGACTTTGTTGTTTTCAACCAGTTTGACACATGTGCTCTAAGTACTCTGAGCACCTTACAGAATTATGCACATTTTAAAAAGTAAAACAGATTTTCTGTTTCTCACAACCTTTTAGAACTCTTAATTTTACTTTCCCATTTTTAAGATACAAATACTGAACAGGGAATACAGTTTTGATAATTTTTGTACAAACAGCAGACCTAATCACAGAACTTAGCAGAACATTAAGCACAGACGCCCTCACAGCAAAGCAACACAAAGGATTACGCCGATGTCGCCGTCACTGGGCGATTTGAACAGTGAATGTTTGTAGTTTTCCATACGAGTGTTTTTCTGGACTGGAATTGAACAGAGAATGAAGTAAACCTTAATGTTTTTAGTATAAGACATTCAAGTGGGTGGAGTTGCACTGTGTAGAAAAACCGAGGTAGAGTTTTTCTCACGGAGCGCTGGCGAGTCCAGGGAGCAGTTGTATCCATTATAATGCACAATGGCGGAGTTAAGGGGTGGCCAATGGTGGCCTTGGACACTGAAGATTATTCTTCGGCCATCACAATAATGTGATAAAACTATACTTCTCAGCAATATAAAACTGTAAAGCATAGTTTCCTAAACTGATAGGAGTGATCAGTTTACATGGTGGTGGCCATCTTGGATTTTGACTTGGCAACCCAATTCGCAAAAGTGACCTTTCACGCTTTGTTGCTTATTAGTTATTAGTTGCTTATTTTTGGCCTAATCATTTGAAAGAACTATACGTGGCAACCTTTCTTACACCTCGATGTAGACTCACATCAAAATCTTTAATTTTTCAAGTCCTCTTGCTCACTGAGCAGGACTCGACTGGACAGACGGTTTATCCAGTTTCCCCTTTTCGCTCTGTAACGTGGAACGGGGCACTCTGTTAGAGCTAGAGAGTTAAAGCTGGATCTTTGAGTTAAAAAGACGTTCAGTCAACGGAAAGGATTAACAGTAACATACAAGCTAAAACATTATCACCCTCTTGCCTGTGGTGGCTGCCTAATCTGTTTGTTCAGTCCAATATTTTTTTTTTTTTCATTTGTCTGAAGAAGTTAAAATAAGGGGTTAATTTCTCCACAAAATAATTTCTATTTGCTAAATGCCTGGATTATGAGAGGAACACAGTAAAATAAAGATGTCTGGATTAAAGTCTTCAGATGCTTTGGGATCGGCTCAGTCTCCCGCTTAAGTCTAAAGTGGACTCTTTTTATGTTTCCATGTGTCACATCTAATAAAACCTGATAAAATAAACAGTTATCCTTTCCCAGGATGAGACAGCCTTTATTTCCTCTTCCCCTCATGCTTCAGCTTCCTGTCGACAAGGAGGCCCACGCTCACCTTGACACTTTGCACCTCGTCGAGCAAATTGCTCGCTGGGGAAATGACACTTCAAAGGTTGTTGAGATACAGCGACACTTTTATCGCTAAACAGGCTTGACGGGGACACAAAAGACTAAAATAATCTGTTGATTGGTGGCTGAGGTGAGAGGGAGGCCCAGAAGGGCTGAGCTGACTCTTTTCAGTCTTACCTCCAACATGCAGGAAGGGAAGGATAAAAACTGAAGCTCATTTCACAATAAGAGTTTTAGAACAGTTTGGTTTTTAACTTAATTTAAAAAAAAATTATTTATTTTCTACCAATCTTTTTTCAACGTTTTACTGTTTATAGATTCTTGTGTGCAATCGGACTATATCTAAAGGCTTTGGCTTGTTGTAACCATTTATTTATTAAAAAAAAAAGATTTTGGATAACATCCACTGACTTTCAGGTTTTATAACTTTTTAACGTTTCAAAATACTTGATTAAATAACAAAGTCCATGCTCAATAATCCAGGTATACAATCCAACATTTTTCAGGCAGGTCATCTGGACCGTTTCTTTTTTTTTTTGTGTGCTGAAACGAACGTTTCGCCTTCGGTCCAGAAAGCTTCATCAGTCACGGAAACACACAACAAAACTGATTCTTCCCCCAACAGCTCTGAGGCATGGTGCTCACCGGATAGGGAAGTTTGATGTGAAACAAATCTGAGATGTCAGGAAAAATAAAAGTTCTCATACAGACACTAACATGATCGCTGTCAGGCGACAACAAAACACCCAATTGTATCTACAGTAGTCCCTTGTTTATCACGGGGGATCCGTACCCTGAAGCCCCGCGATAAGTGAAA